ACCCCCCCACCCCCGCCCTGGCACCTGCCCCCTCACCTGGCAAGTGTGGGATGATCCGGTTCTCGATGTTGATGTCCCCGGATTCGATGGGGAACATCTCCTTCAGCGCTTTCTGTGGAGCAGAGTCAGGCCGTGAGGATGGCACCAAGGGATCCCCCTGTGGTACCCACAGCCCTGCCCACGGCTTCCCCCCCCTTCCTTGCACTTGCCCCACTGCTGCCACTGGTACGTGCTGGCTGGACCCCATGACTCGACACTGGGAGAAATCTGCCAGGGGAGCACACAGCCGATGGCTCCCCCTTCAAGGGGTGAAGGAGATTGAAGCACTGGGACCCAGGAGGCTCCTTTGAGCCAGGTTTGTTTACAGATAATTTCAGCTGGAATTCACCCTTCTATTTTTCCCCAGCCCTGGTGCCCTGGGTTGGGGGCCAGCGCCCACCCTGGGACAACTCACGTGGAACTCGTATATCTCAGTAAACCGACGGTAGATGACCTTTTCGGAGAGGTCATTCCACTTCACCAGGAACATGTAGACCTGAGGGGCAAAGCAGAGATGCTGCAGCTCTGTGGGCGAGCAGGACCCCACACCCTGCTGCAGCTGAAGCCCCCAGGGAGCTCTGCAGATGTTTCAGCTTCCGTTAAACTGCGTGTTTTTCTTCCACCACCCCAATGCAAGTAGCTCTGCCCAGGCAGCCAGCAAGCTGGGTGCTAGGGAAGCTCAGTAGGGACAGAAACATGCAGATGGGTGGGAAATCAAGGAGCGAAAAGCCCTTTCCAAGCCTGTGAAGTAGCCAACGGCTTGCAAATTTGGTGCCCAAAACCTTGTGTGTTCAGTACACTTTATCCTCTGGCTGCCTCCAGCTATGCCATCAGCCATGACCCCCCCAAAAAAGGATGCTAGGCCCTCAGTCACATTTATCTGAATAAATTTGCTGGCCAGGCTTTTTACCCCGGCCAGTCTTCACTACTCAGCTTGGCAGAAGGTCGCTGCGTACTCACATAGTGCTGGCTGGGGAAAAACCTTTTCTCGTAGCCCAGCAGCTCGATGTGCCGGATGAAGGCATCCCCCATAGCTGCTCTTAGCCACGGTGTTCCACTCCAGCCCCTGCTCCAGCCTCCCTGGGCGTCTCGGTGTCCTTCTCCCCTCTGCCGTCACACAGCTCCGCTTCACTGTTAAAGCCCCCAGGAAAGCAGAAGTCCCGCTGCAATTGCACCAGTAGTTGTTTATCTGCTGTGGTTTGTATTGAGTCGGTGTTTCCCGTGGGGAGTCTCCAGCCCAGCCCCTCCAGTGGCTCAAGGGCTGGGGAGGAGGCGGGCAGCGGGGAGCCCTCAGGGATACCCTGGAGGCACCTCTGAAATCATGGAAAGTGAAGGTGCAGTGCCAGATCGGCTGACCCTCGAAGTAGCCCCTCGACCACTGACACTGCCCCGTGATGGCACAGGGTGCTGCAGCACCCAATTTACAGAGGGTCAAGGACAGATGAGTGCCTTGGCAAAGGCGACCAGAGGACCCTCTGGAGCAGAGCGGGGTGGGCTGAATGAAGCACTGAACGTGCTCCCCAGGGACAGCAGCGCCGTCTCTCTAGGGCTGGGAGGCCACCCTGAGCTCCCAGGGCGGGCGGGGAGGCTGGGGGCACAGCCCTGGCAGGGCTTGGTTTGCTTGTTTGGTTTTAGGTTTAGTTTGATTTGGTTGGTTTGCAGGTGTGTTTCTTTAATAATTTGTTGTATGTTACGCACGCATGTGTGGGAGTTTGCATGGGGTCATTTTAGTAATGTCATTTCAGTATTGATAATGTATGAAAAGATCATCAGTAAAATTTGTGATGAAAATACAGTATTTAGTTGAAATTTACTACAGCGCACAAGAGCTCCTGTTCTTGCATCGCTGATTCCTTTCAGTCACCTGCAGCTTCCCCAAAATCTGCCACCGAAAGGCTCCCTTGAGCAGCCCCCACAGCCCTGAGCCAACTCCAGCGCCGCAGCTCTGCTCCCCCTTACCCGGGCATGGGGCTGCATGGAGCACTGGGAAACCTCAGGGTGGGCTGGAGACAGACCCCCACCTCCCACCAGGAGAGCACGAGGGGCCCTGGCAAAGCCCCTCGGAGAGGGCGACACCACCGTCCTCCAGCCCCGGCTGAGCAGAAAGGCCTGAAGGGACACGGGAGCCACACGTATCAATCCCACACTGCTCACAGCACAGGTGCACCCAGGAGCACTTTTGTCCCTGTCAAGGGCACCCCCAGTTACGAGGGGTGCCAGTGCCGGGCTGTCCCCGGCAGAGGTGGGACCCGCTCTCCACAGGATGCTCAGATGCCCAGCTCCAACCGGTCACCCGGCCGTGAGCCCTCCACCCGCTACGTCCCCTCCAGGAGCCTGTGCCGGGGTGCCGCTGGTGTCCCCGCCAGGCCAACACCTTACCCTGAGCTGGTCTTCAGAGCAAGCCTAGACCCACGCTCCACATCCCCATTCCCGGCCGGCAGCAGCCCCCGGCCAGCGGCGGAGCTCACGTGGGCTCTCCCCACCGACCATCAACAGCAAACCCTGCTGCAGGGTCGGCTCCCGATGCCCTTAGTAGCTGTAAAGACAAAAGCTACCTCTGGCTGCACTAAAAAAGAAGATCAAATACTAACCCTAGCTTTCCCCGTATCTCAAGTATGGTGCTTTGCAGCCAAGATCAGAAACATGTGTCATTTAAATTTAGTTCCTCATTTTTTTAACATGGGGACTTCCCTGCATGCAAGGCAAAACTATACAACCAGTAATATTAAAAGTTACCTCCAGGGCTGTTTGCATTCTGCCCTGCTAACAGCCAGATTGCTGCTTCTTATGCAGCAGCACCACAAACTTCATCATGAAAGCTAATTTCATAATTGTTTGTACTAAGTTTGAAACTGCTTTACAGACAGTGCATTACTGGAAACCACTTAATTAGCATCTTTCTTCCTGTTTCCTCATCTTGTGATGTGAGAAATGAAACAAGAGCTTGTAGATCTCACTGCTAGCGATGGGTTAGCTCACAGTGAGACACAGCCTGTCACTCGGTATGATACACTGCTGCGTGTTCCTACCAACTGTCCCACAGTTACTGCGTTGTCAAGAAACAATTTTAGAAGAAAATTCTTGGAGGAGTAATGACCCATCGGATAAACAAGTGGAGTTTATGGAGTCCTTGAGCTGATTCATGCTGTGGAGAACGGGGCTGGCATCTGAATGCAGGGACCTGATTGTGGAGAACTTCCACTGGCCTCCAGCCTCAGCTGGCAGCAGTACTTGCAGCAACGCACCACCACTGCCTTGGGGTAAGAACGGCAGATATGGGGCCCAAGCTGACAGATTTCAATCAAGGCTATTGAAGACAAAGCTGTGGAAGTTTAGAGGTTTAGGTAAATGGACTACCCTCTTCTCTGTAGTGTTCCACCCAAAACCAGTAGCAAAACTTCCCAGAAATAAAAAGATGAAGAGAGGAATGCTACCCTAATTTTGTTCAAAACACAATAGTGGTTTAAATTTAAGCTTAATTCAGTCTTAATTCTGACTTAATTCAGTCCAGAGCCAAGGAAGACCTTGCTTATGCCACTGATGGCAAGTTGCTGTATGTGAACACTACTACATGCAAAAATCACAAAAATTGAAGTCTGCCCTCTTCCTTAGCAGTCTGTCGCTGATCGGACACACACAAAGGAGAACAGGTTCAAGTTTTGTATGTGGAAAATCCCAAGGGAAAACCACTGGCCAGCAGCTGCACGACAGAGGCAATGGGCCTCATCTGACATCTAGTGGTTATCGCTGTGAGAAAAGCCAGGGTGCTGTAGCCGAGGAACTCCAGCCTCCACCACCGACACCCTGGAACCAACACTACCTAGATCCAAAATTCCTATTTCAGAGAAAGGAGCCAGCCCAAGGTTCAGTAAAACATGGGGAATAAAGACTTGTCTGCTACTTCATCATCACAAAGCTTCTCTGCTGGAACAAAAAATATTCAGATCTCTCAAAGTTGTTGCAATTTTATTTATTTACTTTTTTATTAGTACAGCCAAGGCTTTTTAGGGCATTATCACTCAATACCCGACGAGTGAAACACCTCATGTATTACTAGCTTGGAAATGAGTGAGATTTTCATACACAGTCAACATCTTAAAAAGTCTGCTACCTGTTAGGACTATATATATATATATTTAATATAAAATTGATGTTTGGAAAGTATAAATATTGGTGCAATTATTTTATCAGTCTAACTCAAAATGTCCCAAAAGAGACTTCAGTGCTGAATGCCGACCCCCCCGTCAGCATCACTGCGAGCCCAGCAGTGGGACAGGCACCATGCACGCTGCACCCCTTGCTCCCAGCACCACCCAAGGACTTCAGTCCTTCCAGGAAAAACACTGCATCAGTTTTCACTTAATTTTTTCAGCTCCTGCATGTGAAGTTGCAGGATGTCCACACTGCTGTTACATACATGACAAGGCAGTAGCCTGGAATGACTAATTTTCACAGTTCTTTTACTAAGACGCCTCGCCCTCATTTGAGGGAGCACTAACGACTCCATCAGCAATACAGAGCCTTGCTGGGCAGACAGCTGTGCAAAAAGCGCCTCCTAAAGATAGCTGCCAGTGAAGAAGGGATGGACTGTCCTTCTGCTTTTCAAAAGGGGAAGTTAAGAGCCAGCTGAAAACCCGGGGAAAGCTGCATTAACTCATTTCCCCGTTCTAAACATTTCTAGCAGCAATCGTGAAACTGGCCCCGGCCCTGATAAATTATTTATGGAGGTGTTAACTGAGCATGTCTATAACCTACAGAGAACTACACCAGTGGCTACAATTCAGGCCAGCAGCACACAGCAGAGAGTTAATACCCACATAGCGGAGAGGGAACACATCAGTTACACCAACGGGCTGGTTCCCACGGGGCTGACAGGGGCTGCTTGCCCAGGCAGGCAGTGCTGAATCGGCCACCACCGGTTCCCCAGCTGGAGAGCCAGAAGGTACAACCAGACAAGTGTTTTCAAAATGACTCAGCAAGGAGCTAACCACTCTGCTCCTACTGACATCAACGGCACAAGGCCCGAATATTTAAGTCGAAGCACCTAGATGGGCACGGAACAATTGTCAAAACGCAAGCATGCGTCCTACAGCTCTCCTCTGCCTCCAGAATGACAGAGCGTGTGCTGCTCCAATGCATCTGCTGAATTTCAGGTTGCTCCCAGGGAACAGACACTGCACCAAATAGAATTTAAGGCTTCAAAGTTTTCCTTGAAGATACAACTACCTCACCCACAGAGCTGGATTTCTGTCTGAAAGGCGTGACTGGAATTTACTTCCTCCACTGGAAGGAATAACTATGCCAAAGCATGTTCTACCTGCCTACAGACTGCTACAACTTCATTTGTTGTAAAATATGTAAACGTATACTGCATGGACAGCCATGAAAACCATCAGAAAGGTCTTTATTTCTTAATCAGGGAATTAGGTTCACCATTTGTGCATAATGCAGTCATCCCAAATTCATGCCAATAAAAGAGAAACCTTTACAATAATCTGCATCTTCTCTGTAGAGATTATCATATAGCCAGAACTTTACATCTCTTACAGTTTGTGAAACTTAAAATAAATGCATACATGTGTCTCTAACGTGATGTGGGGCGTAACCAGGACTACAGGGGACTTAACTTTTGACATAGGAGAACTTACAGCAGCTTGCAGCGTATGTTTCCATAACTAGTTCTAGATGAAGAGAAGGGCATCCCCCACAGCCTTCAGAAGAAAAGCTCTCACACAGGTCCAGGGGAGTTCTGCCTACGTTAGGACTGCAAGACTATCCCATCATATATAAACCATGTGAGATATTCTGATAAAACATGCACTTAATACTTTGAATTAATGGAACAGACTATAACACGGTTTAATTTAAATTGGTTCCTAATCCACACACTGAAATACTGACCATTTCACAGTCCATCTCATTAATGCGTACTAACGCTCAAGTCAACCAGTTTATTTTTTATTTATGAAAAACATATGAATTGTGATCGATATCATAGGAAAAATTAGTTCAAATATACAGATACTATTGTCCAATCAGCCATTAAAGGAATAAGAACCAAAAAGTATTGATTTTTTTTCCAAAGAAAAACTAACAAACTGAACTACTTGCAGGAAATTTTCTTCATTACAAAAGCTGAGATGCATTCAGGTACAGTGAAATTCAGCTTTATTGGGAAGTGTAGACAGCTTCTGTTAAGTCCCTGTTGGTTTTACTCCCTGTCATCTCCCCAGCGTTGCTGCATCAAATTTAGTCCTTATAATATATTCCAAAGTAAAATCAGCCATTCCAAATCTACAGGCATTCTTTGCTTTAAGTCAATTCACAGAACTGCTGAAAAAGTAGACATTTCTATCTAAAAGTACAAAAAGGGTTTGTATAGAAGGTACTTCTCTTATACAGTTATATTACACAGCTCAAGACAGTCCCGGCAGGCTCTTCTCAGAACTGGATGCTTCTGACTAGATAAGAAAAATTACAAAAGCAAGTTAGTGTGATTGCAGCTCTGTATCTTATTACAAATAGGAGTAGTTTCCATTGCCTTTTTGAGTTCTTTAGGCCTAGATTCAGAGAGCATGCTGAAGCTGAATGTTGCTTTCAATAAATACAAGATTTTAATGTGTGCCTGAGTGGGCTCTGTACAAATTTAGATCAAATATTAGCTTCAGTATAAATTCAGTGGATGGCTTAAAGCATCCCAAGAGGCCAAACCACCACAGGACCGAGTTTCAAGCT